GGCCCGAGCGAGCCCCAGGCTCCAGGCTCCTACAAGCAGCCACCAAGGAGTGAGCCGGTGTGTACCTGGACCCCCACCCCCGGACACAAAGAACCACCAATGCACCGATGTCTGAGGGAGTCCGCCACTGGCAGGGGAAGTGGTGGGGGTAGATAGGCCCCCATACCTTGGAGGGCCTGAGATGTCCCCAGAGAGGTGGTGTCTGACACCCAACCTGACATATAGACACAGACATACAGGCACACACAGACACAAACATCCATTCCCCCCCTCATGCTCTCATATGCAATTACTCCACACTCAACCAACATGGAGACAGACACAAAGAGATGCTGTACACACAATCACACTCCCCAAGCGTACTCTATACCCCAGGTCTAGGTACCCTTGCCCCTGGAGCGGGAAACTGCACCCAGACCCAGGTGGTGTTACCCTTTTGGGGTGGGGAGAAGCAGACTGCCCTGACTCGGCAGCAGCAGGGAGGCCCCACATTCCAGACCCCAGTCGGACGGCAAACTCCTCCTCCTAGCCCCCCACTCCAGCAGGCCGCAGAGAACGGGGGTGAGAGAAGACTCCAAACCTCCCTCCGCCCGCTCATATGTAGTGTTGATGCATGTGTGTTCTAAGGTGCATTTAAAACCTAGGAGGGCATGGAGCTACCTGCCAGAGAGCAGCATGTAAGCGCATAGCCCCTCCTGATAGCCCTCAATGTCTACGTGTATTTAAAATTGAGAGGTGGGCAACGACGCCAGGGGTGGGGTGTACACCCTGATGGTAATTTGGATTCCGTGTAGCGTGCCCACCCCCAAGATCCTATATGTATGTGTAATGAGAGTGTGAGTAATGTGAATGTCTAAGTTGTGAGATAAAATTGAGGCAGAGGCAGTACCAGAAGGGGACAGAGGGGGGGGGGATGCCTCCCCTGCACCCTGGTGACACACCTTTACCCGAAGGCCCTGCATGTGTAGGCCATGACAGCAACCCCGGGTTGAGCCCTCCAAGGAAGGTGACAGCAACTTAACTCATTCACTGCCAGCCATTGGCAGTGAATGAGTTAAACCCATTGACTCATTCACTGCCATTGACGGCTATAGACGTCAATGGCAGTGAATGAGTTAAATAACCCCTTGTTACTGCCAAGGTGTGCAGAAGAGCAGTTCTGAATGCACAGCATGTCTAACCTTGAAGCCAATTGACTAATCATGCTGGTGGTGCTACTGTAATGGTAGGGGGGAGGGTTTCTTTCTATCGGCCGTGTAGTACCAGTGCTGTGGTGTTGGTACCATTGGGCTTACCTGAGTTTTGTTGTAGACCATGTCCATCCTTTTATGACCACAGTGTACCCATCTTCTGATCGCAGCTTCGAGTAGGATAAACCTCCATGTCACAAATCTCAAATCGTGTCAAACGGGTTTCTTTAACATGACAATGAGTCTGTTGTACTCAAAGGAACACCACAGACACCACACCTCAGTCCAATAAAGCTTCTTTAGGATGTTTTGAAATGGAAGATTTGCGTCATTGAGGTTAAGCCGATAAATCTGAAGCAACTCTGCGATGCTATCATGTCAATATGGGCTAAAATCTCTGAGGCATGCTTCCACCACTTTGTTGAATCTGTGCAGTATAGAAAGGAGGCCTAACCTGGTACTAACAAGGTGTACTTAATAAAGTGACAAGTGAGTTTAGCATGTTAGGAAAGAATATATTCAAGACCTCCTTAAAAGGAGAAACTATTATATCACCAAAACTGGCCTCATTGTGCATTTTATCACCTCATTTTGTTTTACAGCAGCCTTTTAATTTATTTAGGACAAGCTTTCCTTTTTAGAGGAATGTTGCTTTAAGGTTTATAGATAAAACACCCACACAGAAGTCTACAGATTGAAACTTCTTTACATTTTTACGCACCATGTGTGAACAATAAAGTTTACACAAAATGTATTTGAATAAAATTCTGGCACAGGTCTCTTCAGCATCAAAGGATCACAACATGTGTTAATGGAAGCCCCAGTCGACAGCGAATCTGATTAATTAATCTTGCAGTACAACCAAAAAGCAGAAAGTGGTCTTTTGAGGGTCCAGGAGGTCTGGGGCCAACTGTTTTCCAACAGTTTATGATCCAGCCTTGCAGCTCCTGCAACATCTGGCAGCCCGGGAGAACGTTCATCCCTCACACATCGAGACGTCAGTCATTTCGAAGAACGTGATGGATGTATTGGGAAATGTCTCCAGACGTCAGCACCAATTTCAGGGTATCATGGTCTATCTAAACCACATGTCCCTGAGTGAAAACACAGCCAAGTATCTTTTTAATCAGGTCCTTAATCCTCCCAAACCCGCACCCCAAATCCGCAACTCACATTTTTTCCCCTTTCCTTTTATTCAACTGTTTACTTTCAATGTCTGTGAAACAGCTTGTGCGATAGTGTGTGTAGACATATTCGACATGAGGACATGAAATCAGCCTCCATAAAACAGGAAGACTGATCAATAAACTAAACGAGCAGGCAGAAACATTTTTCTTCAAAAACGTAATACTCACTCGTTTGTTTGTTCTCTAAGTATTTCTGGGGCTGATTCGCAGAGTCAACAGTTTAGTTAGTTAGTTTAATTTCTTCAAGCTGGAACAAAATCCTTCCTCTTCTTTGTTCACTCAAATGTAGGACACAAAAAATGGAAAACTTTGTCTTTAATTTTCCCAGCATGGAAGGATAGTCGGCTTCATCAGTGAGTTGCTCAACAAATTTCGTCATAATTTAGAGCTTAACTTGACCTCTTAATACCAGTGCTTGGTGAAGAGAAGCAGAGGCCTCTATATTTGGCACTGTGTTGATAAGACCACTGATAAATGAAGATATCTGAAGCTGGAAAATTCTCTTTGAATATGAGTATATGCTCTGCTAACACTCACAGGTCAGTGCCCACTGGGGTGACTGGTTTTAACTGCTGATCCCAGTAGATCAGAAATTATTATGTCTTTAACGCTGAAATCCTTACAATGAGATAATAATTTAGCTCTCACATGAATCACCAAGTTCAGATAAGGATGCATACTTTAGTGTTGGTGTAATCAACAACGGTTGAGTACAGGAAACAGACAAACTTCATTACTCGTCCTCATAAAGCTGCCAGAGTTTCACAATCGATTGTCTTCTCGGTTCAAATCATATTTCTGTGAGAAAAGTAAACTAGTTAATGTTCAAAGAGCCGCAGCTAAACTCTGAAGGTGAAGGTGTTGCTCATCCTCCTCAGTTTTTACATGACAGACTTGAAACAGCTGTCTGTGCTGCAGGTAACAAAAGTGCTGAACATTTGTTGTAGTTTAAAGAAATTAAACCCTGAGACGTGTTACGTCTTGCTCCTATTTGACAGACACTTAACTTTCTCTTCTTTCCTTGGAAGAGCGCTCACATTCAATGGCTTCAAACAAACAAGCAGCTGCATACTGAAACCAATCAGTGCAGATAAAAGCAGCTGGCTGTGCAATAATAAATATAAATTAAGGGTCTTTGTTCATGCTGATATCAAACTAAAACGAAACCATTTATCATGTCTTAAAGTGAGGTGGTTTAAAAGGTAACGACTTTGGGGAACTTTTATTTCTCTGGTGGAGAGATTAGGAAAGAGAATAAGCAGGGAGGTGCACATACATATGTTTAACATGCAGTCCACTATAATTGCAGTTTTCTTTGTTTTCTTTTGCAAAAAACCTCATAGTTAGTACAAATTGCCCATATTAGGAATGTACTGTTTACTATTTCACAACCATCTCTGCTCTGATTTGTCATTCATTCGGAGCTCAGGGGTTCTCTTTTACTGCCAAGTACCATTTCCAACAAATGCAAACTTGCTTACGAAGACAAAAACTTGGCTCTTTGTGATAATCCCAGAGGATGAGTAAAGGTAAAAGCAGAACATTAATAATGTGAAAGTAACAAGTGTAAGAGAAGAAGGAGAAAAGCAAAAAGAAAAAAAGACTAAGACTTTGATTATTATGTGATCATATGAGCAAATTCATAGATTTGTCCTTCTGGTCTCCGGCTTTACATCGCACAGAAAAATCTTTTGCTTTTGTTTGGTGAAGCTGAGTGATATGTCACGCTCATTTATCTTTGAATGTAAACTCTGGTGGAAAACAAGCAGCTTACTTTGCAGCCATGCCCGTGTAGCCTTTTGAACCCCTTTTTTCTCAATGTTAAGTTCACAAAGAAAATTAGCGATTAGATCTGTGAGCAGTTTAATGAATGACTCTGCTGAGACTTGATGATAAGAGCTTTCTCAGGTGGAAATGATAACAGACACTTATTGCCCACTGGTACTGAACAAGAGCAGAGTCATAAATAAACAGCGAGTCAGGACTAATTCTTGGCACTTGTTCAGATCTTTGTGATCTCTCTATATGTCTGCGCTTGCCCGCGCAGTGTGTTCACATTCTTGTGCGAACAGGCTGCGGGTTGAGGGCTAAATATTTTATTGCAAAATATAAAGCTTATGATAGTGCCAAATACCCATCAGAAACAGAGCAGGTGTGTGCAGTCATTGACAGGACTGACGTCAAGTTGTAATGTTACTGGTCCCAGAGCTATACCTGGTTTAGAGAGACTGCTGTACCCTCAGGGAGAAGCGCAAGTGATGGGAAAATGAACCATCATTAACTGGAGAGAGAGCCAGTTCGTTTTTATATGCACTTGGGATGAAATGACACGTTATGTTCGCAGTGCACACTTTCATTTTTCATAAACTCCTGTTACCGAAAGGGCTTGAATTGACTCCAAAGTCAGTTCCTGAGAACTGGCTCGAGAGTCGAGGATTTATCGAATTTCAAGGCTTACAAATAAAGAAGATCTCATTTTGCATCCCAGTAGAAATTGCAGTTTTCAACAATATAAATCTGGAGTCTTGCATGCAGCAGAACGAGACGATCACATTGTCCTGTGATAACATGCCTCCTGCTGGAAGGAAAGAATCGGGGGAAGATGTCCAGATGAGGAGATTAGAGGGGAAACAGTTTTAAATTACTGTTTGAAAATAACTTTATTCTGTTTAATGAATCTGGCCTTAATCTTTGCTAGAATTACTGATACAGCGTGGCTTGAAGCTCAGGGCAGCATCCCTGGAGGATTTATGAAAACATTGCTTTAAAATGTGAGCAAACATGAGAATAATTTACAAAGATATGAAAAAAATAGATATAATAACACCAAGGTAAACTCTCAACATTCATTGTGCGCTTGACTCTCCTCCTTAGTGAACAACGTGAACTGCATTTATAATCACTTTTACGTCACATGCATACCCAATGAAGGCATTTGAGGCATTTGCTGTAATGCAAATGCGGTAGGCTAATTTTACAATTTATTTTTTGTTTTCTCTCTTTTTCTTATATTTCCTCCTGATACACATTTTCTTTTTTACTTTCTGTTGGGCCAAGCATGTTCCCTTGTGGCTGTCTCATTAGGCTTACCTGGATTAGGTCAGATTTATGTCCTGACTAAGAAGGATTGGAAGATGCTGATACCCATTCAGTGATTGATAGGTGTTTTGCGTCAGTAATCTTGCCGTTGGTGATGTAATCACAGGCATGTCCTGGTCTATGAGCTGTAATTGATTTACAATGTGGAAAACAACCGTCCACTCTGACGTCCACATCCACTGCCACTTCAGTCTGTGTGTAACATAATACCTGGACTGCATGAGAGCGCACACATGTGATAAAGTCGCTTTGGTGCCACAAATGAAGGAGTCCGGTGCAGCTCTTTGTCGTTATAGTATTGCACATACAGTGGAAGGATTATGTTTGTCAACTGATGCTGCAGACCACTTGCTCGGACTCTCGTACTCATCTGGTTGGAGCACAGAGTAACCCACAGCCTCGACCAACCTCCTCTTCTGGACTCGATGGAGGAGGATCCGATAGGCCCCTGTCAGTGGATTCCTGCAGTCCAAGCAGGGGTTATTCTGGAAATGAAGCGCCACGACCCCGAGATCCGACAGCAAACTCTTTACCTCTTGCTCTTCCACGCACAGAGTCTGATTTGTCTGTGCAAAGTGAGCAGGAGACAGTGGCAACGGCGTATAGGGACGAGGGAACTCAATCCCCTTCAGCCAAGCACTGTCTGAAATCTGCGTTAAAGAGGAGCGATCAACAGGCACAATCCGCAGCATGCCTTTGATGACCAGCTGGCACGGATCTGGCACATAAGAGGGGATACGGTAAGCCCCCTGGAGGATGCAGCGCTTCAGCCTGCCCAGATTTTCCCCATAAAAGGGTAAAGTTGCTGTTGTCATGAAGTACAAGAGAATACCTAAAGCCCAAATGTCTGAGTAACGTCCAGAGTATCCCTTTTCCTTAAAAAGTTCAGGAGCAGCGTAGGGCGGAGAGCCACAGAAGGTGGTGAGAAGCTCAGCAGGGCTGCTCTCTGTGCTGAAGCCAAAATCCCCAACTTTGATGCAAAAGCTGGTGGTGTAGAAGATATTCTCCGGTTTCAGGTCTCGGTGGATGATGTTGCAGTCGTGCTGAAATGTGACACACACGGACAATTTTAGAAAGAGTTCTCCTTTAATGCTCACAGAGAACGCCAGCGCACTGGTTCATTTCTGCACTGTGGGGAAAAACACTGATATAGCAACATTTCTTTGCTTCATCTTATGATAAGACGGACAGGGAACTAATTAACTAGTATTATTATTATAACACCCACATGCATTGATGAAGCATTGTTTGGCCTGGCCATTCCAGGATACATTTTCCTTCTGCTACACAGATGTGGCTCATGTATCGAAATCTCCCAAATCAATAATTTTTACAAAGAAAAACGTTATTGGGAGCAGATATTGTGAGTTACTCATGACTCAGACACCTAAATTACATGCTTATCATCTGTCTACACTGCAACTATCTATAATACACTTTAACTAATATTTATTTATAATGCATCTTCTGGTTTTAGTTCATTTTAACTGAATTAGTGACTCTTAAACTGTTCTCTTTGTTTACTCATCGGGTGGTCAGTGGCGCGGTCTCTGTGCTCTACCCTGCATGTCAAAGTATCCTTTAACACGATACTCAGATTTGACCCAGTTTCACATTCTCATCTCTACTTATTGTTAGAGGCCTTAAGGTTTCAATCTGATCACGTAAGTCTGGCACATTTTGAGTCCAGCTGGGATTTTTTAATTCATTCCATGCTTTCTCTCCTCATTTCAATCAGCGAACATATCACAGACTCATGCTGTGACCAAGGGTGAAACCGAAGCTCACCATGTGCTTAACAGCAGAGATGATTTGTGCGAAGACCAGCTTGGCTTCCAGGTCGTTAAGCTTCCCCCTCGTGGTGATTCGAGAGAACAAGTCTCCACCGCTGCCGTACTCCATGACCAGATACAGCTTCCGGCTCGTCTCCATCACCTCATAAAGGCGCACTATGTTGGGGTGGCACAGCTTCTCCATGCAGCTGATCTCTGAGGAAGTCAGAGGCTGTTTCTTCTTATCCAGATGCAGCTTGTCCATGATTTTAACAGCTACTCTCTCTGAGACAGGAGAAGGGGAGGGAGAAGGCTTAGCTGTCAGTGACAGATTTAAAGAAGGTCTGATGAGGTTAAGGACTGAAATAAGGACGGATGTACATTTAGGAGATTTAACACAAGAACAGACGAGACGCATCTGATCAAAAGGAGGGGAATTAGCTTTTAATAAGATGATTGTTGTCGTTTTTTAAAGTCTGCACAGATTTATGGTGCTCTTGAACACTTATTCAGAACACTGGAATGTGAGTGAAGCAGGAATGAGTTTGAAACACATAAAAAAGATGACTAACGGTGACTGAATAAATGGGACGAACATCCTAAATAACTGACGGTTCTTTACCTTTCGTCAAGGCATGGATGCCCAGCCTGACTGTAGAGAAGTTGCCTTGCCCGATTTCTCCACGCAGCTCGTAAAAGCCGATCCTTCGACCGAGCACGAGGTCATTGACGATCTTCTCGTTGTGGGTCATGTCATAGACGATCCTCTCAAACGGAGACTGCGCTCTCCTCTCTGCGTCAGTCAGCTGCGGGGTGGCACACGTGGCAGCAGAAGCCAGGGGCTTGGCTGGTTTTTGCGTCTTCGGAGAGTCATCTTTGGATTTTTTGCTCGTTTTCTCTTTCGGCCATAGACGCATTTTGACGGCTTGGAAGTAAAAGCAAAAAAAGTGTGAAAACGTTGCAGCCGTGCTGCGTGAAATAGCAGAAATATTAGGATTTCCTTTAGATTTGGACCGAGACGACATCGCTTCTTAGACAAACACCTTTGTGTGTGCAAAACTCATGTCCCATAAGTAGAGCTGTATGGGACATGGATAATAAGATTGACCTCCATGCTAACTTACCTGGTATGTAACTGTACATCCCACATAAGTCAAAACGTCAGGTCTGTATTCTGCCTAAATTTAACCCGAGTTTCTATCTGCACTTTTAAGCTGTCAGTGGATATTATTGAAAATGATGCTATGATAGACAAGAATGTGGCAAACTGGGTTTTAATTTATTTTGCTATCACTCATCTGCTTATGTTATATTCTTTTGCTTTAGGAGAACAAAAACAAAGTATAATCTGAAATGAATAAACTGAATCTCTTCTCCTGGTTAGAGCTTCCACTCACACCGTTTCTGAAAATACTAACATTGCACCTCTGCGGTGTTAGTGTTGTGACCACTATGCAGGAAACAAGATTTCTGGATCACGGTAAATGGATTTCAATATGTGTGTTTTCATTTTTAATGGACAAAAGCAGGATGTTGACCGTTCCTGTTTTTTCTGCTCTGGGAATTGAAGTTTTCATTTTTTGGACACAGTTCTTAAGAATCAGCACGTTAATTAAATTTTTTTTTTTGATAATGTAAAAATTTCTCTCAAACAGAACAATGCTTTGGCTCGAACGATTGCCTCGTACGGCGTTTCTTTTGTTTTTACAGGAAATTGTGCAGTACAGTCTGAGCATTGCATAGAGTCTCAAATCTGACCCGACAGTCAGGTCAGGTGCCAGACCGGCTACTTGAATCCTGTGTGGGCATCTTGGAGAGCACGCATAACCTCTCAAAAACGACTGTGAGCAAAATGAACCAGCCAGTCAACTATTACCAATAATAATAAACAAATATTAAACATTACAGTGTGATTATGTTCTTCCTCCTCTTGGACTTTGTCGATCAAATATAGCCGAGGATTACTTGGGTTTTTTAGATGGAGAATTAGTGCCATTTAACTTGCAGACAGCTATTTATAGGATGCTAATGAAGACTAGACTGGCAAAACAAGAATGAACAGAGTTGCCAAATTAGGATTACACTTCCACGCTGCGTATGAAACTGAGCAGGCAGATGATTATTATCAGCATTTGGATCCATGTGAAACTGCTTTTCTATTATTCTTGTTAAATCTACCTGTAAATGTAACAGCTTGTATGACTGGAGCGATGTAGTCACTGTGAAAAATAATAGCAATGAATGAGATTTAATGAGTAGCTTTGAATCATCTTTTGTGGAAAATTCACATATAAGAGTGGAGATATATTCAGTTGCCAATCTGGCACTTCTGAAATAAAATACAATTTTAAATCATCCAAATATGGGTTTTCTAAATCACCAAGGCTACAGTTGATAAGAGATTTTATACAGATGATTTAAAGTACTTTTTAAAAAAGTACATCTAATTTTAAAAACAACATGAAAAATAAACGAATCACATTAGCTGATCAATAACAGTAATAAAACTAAAATATTTTACCTGTGAGCTGCGAGTCCTTCATATCTCTTCCTCAGAGTGTAACACCTGACTGTGGCTGAACATGTGAATAGAGCTTCAGTGGACTAAAGCAGTCCTCACAATCCTATTAACAGAGTGTATTAGTGGAGTGCTGACATGACCTGACACAATGGAAATGATGCAAAGATACTTTCAATGAATAAAAATAAGCATGCCTGCTTTCATAATGATGATAATGCTCATGTAACTTACACATGAAAGCAAGTTCGTGGGCGTTCTTTTCATTAAACCATATTTATTGTTTGTCAGATGGCAACGTCAAGCTCTGACTAAAAATATATAAAAATATTATAAATAAATAAAAACTAAAAAGTGTTTTAATAACTTTCTGGAATAAAATAAAGTGCTAATGAAAACAGCTTCATACATTAAAATATTCAGGTAAGAAGAGTTTAATGTGCTATTTAGATACTCTATTGCAGGTGGACTGGAGCCTATCCCAGCTACTATAGGGTGAGAGGCAGGGTACACCCTGGACAGGTTGCCAATCTGACACAAGGCTAACACAGAGAGACGAAAAACTATTCACATTCATCCCTGTGGGCAATTTTGAATCACAAACTAATCTTTGGACTGTGATAGAGCCGGACTACCTGAAGAAAACCCACACAACCACGTAGAGAAACATAAAAGAACTAGCAGATTACTAAAAGCCCAGCTTTAAGCTTTAATAGCTCTTTAAGCTCTTTAACACTTTAAAGCCTGAACCATATTAAGTATATTAATATAGTGATTTTCTCAAATAACTGCCAGAAATTGTTTTGTTTTTTTTTTTGCAAATATAGTGTTTAGGGAACCTTCTGACGAAATAAGAATAAATAAATTAATATTAATTAATTTAATATTAATATCTTATTTGCTACATCTGTCTTTTGTGCCATTTATTCCTTAAAAATGCATATAAGGAAAGATGTTTTTATTTATATAGGCAGAAGAAGCAGGTTTGTGGGTCTAACACTGTACTCATCGGCAAAAGTGACAAGTTACCAGAGAGTCATAAGCATTGCAGATTTTGGTGATTATTTGGGAAACTATCACAAGGAAAATAAAGCGGCAGTATATTCTGAAATAGAGGTTTTGTAGACTTTTGATTTTTTTTCTTCAGTTTTACACAGGAGAAAATATGATGTGAAGAGACACAGACATTTATGTCTGTCATAATTGGCTAAAAAATGCGAATATTGTCAGATATGGATGAAAAGAAGGTATGAGAATCTATGAATTCATTCAATTGAAACCCAAACACTGCTGTCAGATAAAACAGCAGCTGAAATAACAGAGAATTAGTTAATAAAGACTATCACATGAGACCATAAGAGCAAACTTCAGCTTCCCATTAATCATGCTGTATTCACATAACAAGAGAGAGCTTAAAAAGATTGCAGGTGTAGTGATATTAGATGGTAAAGTGTTCAGCCATAGCCATACACCACATCCACACTTGGATGACCTCTGTGTCAGCTGATGAAGGAACCCACACAGTGCGTTGAATCTAACAGCAACAATAATCATTAAAAGTAGAGCTAATACTGGACACCAGAGACAAACAAAACTTCAAATGAATACAATTTTACTGACTTGTCATTAAAGTCTTTATAAGCCATTTATATTTCACAATAGAGTTCACAATAAGTTCACAATAGCGTATACTGATGCACATTACTATGCAGTTGTTTTTAATAGTTTGTTCCCACTGCCCCCTAGTGGAAATATTGAGGAGTACAGTTGAGTTTTCCCACTTTTTGGTAAATGTCACAAAAAAAATAACATTTAGCGCATACACAAAATAATGTAAAATTACAAAGTTATAAAAACGATATATTTTAACCATACAATAGCAAAGTGTTATTTGTGGCCAACTTCACCTGCGACTTCGTGTCTACACTCGGACCCCTTGGTTAGTAGGGCTCCGGCTACACCCCGCTATCTAGGCGGCCATGTGCGGTGAATGACGTTTAACTTTAGCCAATAGTGAGGCCTGGATTCACAATCTGTCCAATCACCGAAGAGGATTAGTTGGCGGGGCCTGCACTCACTGACGAATCAGCGCAGGCCATATCACGAAAGCCCGGAACCACATGCTGGCGCGCGCCCGCTGCTGTTGTTGATGTTATTATCTGTGACATGTAGCTATTAAACTATAGTCGTTTCTACGTGTGTGTTTATTTCTTAAGTCATAAAATTAGTGCAAAATATCAGAAAATGGCAGCAACAGTGACGACGAGTCTTGTGACCGCAACGGAGCACGACCCTGACCGGTGTGAGAGTGAGGAGGAGACCCGCGGGGCCGAGGCGGAGGACAGCGGCCAGCAGCAGCAGACGGGCCCAGTCACGGTGAGCCACAGCCGGCTGTCCAAACTCCCGCTGTCCCGCATCAAGGCTCTGATGAAGACCGACCCAGACGTGGCCCTCGCCAGCCAGGAGTCTGTGTTCATCATCGCTAAAGCCACGGTGAGACCACTGATATCCTAACCGGTCCTGGTAACACGAGTGCTGACTCTATATGATGCTAACAAACTTAAGTGCAGATAGTAAATAATCTATTTTCTAAATGTTTATATTTCATTTTAGTTTATTTATCAGCCTGGAATTACTGAAGTATATTTAAACTTTAGTGTAGGTTAACCTTTGGAATAAACGCAGAGTTTACTCATGTTAATGTCTAACTAAAATGTTAGAGTCAAACTGAACAATCATCATGCTAGATAGGGAATGAAAGCTAGTAGAAGCAAGATGGGATACATGTGTGAATGAGAGGGAGAGGTAGTGAAGGTAGATGAGTTTAAATACCTGGGACAAACAGTGTTCAAGAGAGGTCAAGAAGAGAGTGCAGGCAGGGTGGAAGTGAGTGTTGGGAGACTGTGTGACAGAAGGATAGCAGGGAAAGGGAAGGTTTACAAGGCCTGGTGTCAGTGAGATGTACGGTTTGGAGATGGTGGCGGCAGGAACAGAGCTGGAGGTGCTCGGGTTTTCGTTGGGAGAGACCAAGAGGGACAGGATTAGAAATAGTGTTTTAAAAGGACAGCTCAGGTTGAGTGCTTTGGGGTTAAAGACAGACTTCAGAGACAATGGTTTGGACATGTTCAGAGAAGAGATGGTGGATATACTGGATGCTGACTGTGGAGCTGCCAGGCAAGAAGAAAAGAGGAAAGATCTTAGTGGAGGTTCATTGATGCGGTGAAGGAGGACATGCAGAAGAGCATGCTAGCAATAGGGCGGCATGGAGGCAGATGATCTGCTGTGGTGACTGTTTAGGGAGCAGCCAGTTGTGCAAAAACAGTTGCATTTCAGCACAAATATATTTTATCAGTGGCTTATGTTAATAAAAAAAAAATCTATTTCTGATCGTTTCTCTGGTTCATTTTGAATGATTTCTTTTTGGTTTCTTTTTGTACAGGAATTGTTTGTTGAGATGATCGCCAAAGATGCTCTAGTGTATGCACAGCAAGGGAAGAGGAAAACTTTGCAAAGAAAAGACTTGGGTAAGTGGATTAAACATGTGCTTAATTCTATTTAAAGTCTACTTGCATAAATAGAAAATGGGCTGGTACTTGTATAGCATTTTCCTGTTCTATCAAAGAACATCAAAGCACTTGTGCCTGTGTGCTTCTAACCTAACCGGGGCACAGTCATCCTCCAGCAGTGATCAGTGTCTTACCCAAAGATAATTATACAACCTGCTTCATAAGCCTGAATTTGACAGTTGTACATATTTTTCTCAGAATAACAACTACATCACGCTGAGATTTGACTTGAAGAAACAGGATGTGCTTTAATTTTAGGCCCCTGTTCCTTTTCTGTGACTGTCATTGCAATACTCAGCATTTTGCAAAATGTTGCAAATTCACAATTATATGACACCATGAGTAAAATATTGTGATAATATTGTATCATTTGTTTTCTTTTCCGCAGACAATGCAATAGAAGCCATAGATGAGTTTGCATTTCTTGAAGGTAAGCCATACAAAGACAAAAGTAGAAAACAACTTTTAAAGTTGTCTGCATTACGATGCTGATTGAATTCGTCACATGCACAAAATTCAGTATTCCACTTGATATTGAATTTATTGCCTCAGTTTTGAACCAGAATATGTTTTACTGACTTTATTTTTTCTGCAGGCACACTGGATTAAAGACTGCTTCAGGAGACTGGTCAAAACTGTTTGCAACCATCCAAGTTTTTATTACAGTGTCATAATTCACTGTTGGAAACTTTCTGCTACTTTTCTAAGTCAAAATCTGAAATTCAACATTTATTAATGCTTTTATACGATGGTTCCTCAAGATTTTTCATGCTTAACTTTGAAGACTTGTGATGGAAATGTGTACATTTTTTGTATATACTTGTGAAATACTATTCACTGTACAAGAAATAAAAGTATGTAAACAACAGAATGAAGTCTGTGCAGGTGTGTGTCACACTCAGCATTACTGGTAAAGCTGTAAGAGTAATAATGTCAGGCTTCAATGGAGTTTTCCAATTTAAAATCTGCAGAGTGACATTAAAAGCAAAAAGATTCGTGCACTGCAAACTTGACCCCAATTTTAACTAGTTTTTCAGATCTCCCAGAGGTAAACAAGAGATTAAGCATCTTCTGAATAAGGTTCAACATAAGAAAAATGAATGACAAGCACTGTGAGCAACACTCACAGCTGAGAAACTGAAGTGCATACTTTAAATTCCTTTTTTACTCCTGCACAGTTCAGGGGGATGTATTTTTGTTTGTTTGTTTGTTTTTAAAGCAGCCTGCTCTAAAGTAAATGTGCTCATCCAGCGATGTCAGAGCTATCCAGGGTCCTGCCCTTGCTAACACATTTGTAGAATTTCCTCCTTGTATTTAAATAATAGAATAACATCTTGAAGATTTTGGAGACAAATCAGATCAACAATTTTTTTTTGTCTGTATAAATGTCTTGAGCCGTCTCTTGTCTCTTTATGTTTCACTTCTAAGAAATCAGACTTTCTTGTAATAATTTTAGTGGTTTTGAGAGCAGTTCTGCAGGCTTTCCTTTCATATTGACTGCTTTTTCACTCATTTTCAATCCAGTCCTTGGACGTGAGCTTTTTCAGAAGAATGTTTTTTTTATTAAGCCAGTTAACACTGAGCTATGAATCATTCAAACATAACAAAGGCACCCAACTCAAGCAACAAACTGGTGTTGTGTATAAATATAAAAGAAAACTTGGCAAAGAACCACTTTTAAATAGTATGTTTTTGCACTTTGTTACACAATCTGTTCCCCTTTCTCTTGTTCAATCTATGAAAAATACCAAAAATACCACAGTTTCACCAGCATAAAATAGTATTTATAAAACTTATGTCAGGATGGTTTGCTGTTTGTCCTTAAAACATTTCAGGAAATTGGTTCTGTGAAATTCAAAAGAAATTGCAGGCTTAAAAACTATCCGATCAACAGCACTTGAAATTCATGTCCTTAAGTAAATGTGGCCCATCAGCTGCTCCATCTACTGTTCACTGAAGCAGGCAGAAAAGGCTGAGGTATGCCAAATTACACAAGAACTGGGCTGAAAAGTGATGAATCCCAATTTGACATTTTATCAGTGTGTTTGGAGATTTTAAGGAGAGAGGTACACTACTGTCGTCAGCCATCTGTAAAACAATGGTGTCTCTTTCATGGTTTGGGGCTCCATTTCTGCCAGTGGTGCTGGAAATCTGGTCAAACTGATGGAATTATGAACACAGAAAAGTACTACACCATACAATACCATCTGGAAAGTGTCTGATTGGCTTCATTTTTCAGCATGACCGTGATGCCAAACACACTGCCTATGCAGTAAAAGCATCAGTCATAAATCTGTCTCCCCAGAGCCTGTTAACTGTTTTTAAAGGACTTTAAGGGATTTCTAAATGTCTTTGTTGTTTACCCTTCCCTTGAATCCTTGTCTGTTATCTCCCAGTGGGGACATAACTGCAGTAAACTAATTTGTAGTAAAGAACGTACTGAATTAATTTTGTTTGATATTTTAAATTTGTGGTGGAAGAAAGGCTACTCTCAGCAGAACGGCCTTTACTGATGTTTACTGATGCCCCGGGGTATTTTGGCTCTACAGCAGCCTCAAGGTCAGCCTAGTTTTTAGAGTTTTCGACTGCATCTCCTGAACAATTATTTCTGCAAACTTGTTCTTGTCATACTTTTCATAACAAATAAAACTGCAGGTGACACATGAAAGATGCTCTGCATTTAAGACGATGGCGTATTATGTGAGATGTTTATTTTTTCAAATATTACTAAGATAATTCTCTTGGAATAAATATTATGTCATTACCATTGCTGGAACATTGAGTTTTGGACTCTTACAGAGCGCACCGCAGCCAGTGGTGAAATGTTGAAGGTCAGATTTCTTGTGCAACACAGCGACCCTCGAGTTTGCATTAGGAATGTGTCTGGATCTCTGTGGACATAAGATGTGTGCTTTTCTTCTTGGCAGCAATTTTTAAACATATCCAGAGTGTCCAGTTTCTCACTCCAGGCTCAATCAAGACCTTTTGAGTTTTGGTAGTGCAGATTTTCAAAATAAATGCTCGAGTGTGTTTAAGCAGATTTTCTAGGTTTAGTGTTTCGGGTGTGGGGAGGGGGGTAATGAAACAGAGCTGTGTGAAGCACAGATATTTGGGTCCCGTCAACTCCCTGCAGAGGAATGCCTGACTGGCACAGGGGAGCATGCGGTGCTCTATTCTAATAAAATATAATCGCATGTTGAAGCATAATTTTATTTCCACAGTCGATTAAGACATTCCATGAAGGAAATCTCATGTGAAGATAAAATGCAGAGCTTTCCCGTGTCCAAAGCAGAACATGAAATATGAATCCACGGCCGGTTGGCCTAATGATTCGCTTTTATAATAATGGGGGGAAATGGCATGCTGGGATAAGC